CTTATAAATGAGTGTCACATTTGCTAACCTACAGTCAACTGAGGCCTTCACAGTTAGCCAGGACTGCTGGTAAATGATTGAAAGTGTCTTGGTTTGCACTTTCTCAGTGCCCTATCTTGTATCTGTATCCACAAAAATAGTATGTAGTTTGATGCTGAAAATGAATAGTGAAAGCCCTAAAGGAGAAAGCTTTGTTCAAAGTTTGAGAAAACAGCAAAATCCAGATCCAACTGACTTTTGTTGACCTGATCAGATTCAGGATTTCAAGAAATTTAATAGCTATGCTATGTCCATACCAGAAAATGAAACCTGTCAGGATCTTAGTTTTTTGTTATTCTGGCCAGTCTACATGGCACAGTCCCTATCTGTGTTCATAAACTCACTACCCATCATAAGAAAATGACTTCAAATGCTTGAGCTCAGCTGAGTGTATTTATATGTATATCTATAAACAACCACAGAGACTTAATTTCTAAGTAATTTCAAATATATTTCACATGGTGAGTGTTTCCCATGTATTGCATCTATGCTTACAGATTGTGTATTGTAACTGAGCTCAGTAGTGACTGGTAGACTTAAGCAAAGCATGCTCTTTGTTTCTTTATTGCTTCTCCAGTTCATTTCTTTCCAGGGCAGAATCCCCACATGGTTTTCCTCCTGTGACTGGTAGACTTAAGCAAAGGAGGTCAAACTGCTGGTGTCCATGTTTCCAGTGTAGAATCCATGATTTGGTAAGAACAGTGCTACAGAAATCATCCCTTCATTCCTGTTCAAGTTCTTGCTGTGTAAGGACAATGGGGCAAAGCTTAGACTGGTTTAAGCATGACTATCTCCTAGGCTCTTTCCAAATTTATTTCTGGCTCCAAACCACATAGGACCAGGACGTTGACTGTGTGTCAACAAAGAAAAACTGATTTTGACAAACGTACTAAAGGACAGTGTACTCAAAATACCTATTTGTCCTTTGCAGATTACAAAAGCAAAAACTTCAGTCCATCCTAAAGCCCTGATCATATGCAGGGCTTTCCTTCAGAAATCTACAAAATTCATCCTGTATGTCTGTATTTAATTGTGTTGTAAACAACATGGATGACTAGCAAATATAAATTCAGGAATAGGATCAGATACTTAATTTCATAACTTTCGTACACATAGAAAGGATGAACAATGATGTTGTCATTAGTCATGCTTTCCTTGTGTATCCATGAAGATGGAGCTATGGAGTAAGTGCCAACCAGCACAAACAGATCTGTTCCATCCTAAATTCAAGTGTGGTGAAAAATGAGAAATTGCACCCTGATACCAAGAAGCAATTGATTTCTTCATATGTAAGTTTATACATACATAAATATATATAGAGAGATATATGGTGGTTTATTAATTTCAAGATTTACTGTTGTAGAATTACAAACTTTTCTGTTCTTTTGAAGGCAGTGCAACTGTTCCCTAGGGTGTCAGAGATTGTAAGATCAGACACCTAAGGAGAAGAGTTTACACAGTTTTGTAAGAATGAGCTGTGACAAAACATAAAAATATGTTCTGGGAGAAAAAAAGCTATAGACATATGGACAGAAATAAAAAGATGAGGAAGTAATTTCAGAGACAAGCTTAAGGAGGACTTGAAAAAGGAGAAGGTACTTGGCAACTGGGGACAAGAAAATTTACCTCATGCAGCCACTTGGATTGAGGAGAGCAGCATGTAAAATGAAAAAAAGCTGATTCTTACTGAGGTATTGAAAAAACCTATTGAATTAAGTTTTTCCTTTAAAATGCCTTGCTGGAGTTTTCTGTGTGAAAAACAATCAGCCTGCTAACTGCAGGCTCCAGGTGAATATATGGGAAAAGATTTTTCTTTCTGTGATATAGGTTATACTGACATGTAGAATGGAAGTTTAATACTGCACTTTATCATTAGTCCAATGAAATTACAGATATCAGCTCCTTTAGCAAATTAAAGTTATACCACATGGAGAAAAGGATTAAACCACATATAGAATTAAGGTTATCTTAATTCTTTTCTGTCCTTCAACCATTGAAATGAAAAGGGTCGGTTCGAGAAAGTTGCTAGGAGACCATAATCACAAGTGTCAGAATAATACATTTTTATTTAAAATAGGAAATGTTGATTAATGAACATACTTAACAGATAATGAGTAAAGGTATTGAAAGCATCTATGTTCAATCAAATTTTGGGTGAAACATTTAATTTATATATTGAAAAGCCGATGAGAATTGAAAGTCTTCAAGGTAAAGCCAACCAAATCATACAGTTAAAACTGAAGGACACAACAGTTTATGAGTACTTGATTAGAAGCCTCTGGATACTAAGAAGCAAGAGCAAATGTTCCCAGTATGCAAGTCCACTAAGACTAAAAACAAAGAACAAAAAAGGAAATTATTTAGCTATTAGTCTCATATAGACATCTTGTTGAAACTAAGGTAAGAGGAGCCATCTGCTTCAGAAGCAATGAATTGGTATAAAGGTAAGATACTGGAAAAGATGGAAAAGATGTTATATTAAAATTAGAGAAAACTAAACAATAAATAAATTGATGGTGAAGAAACTTCAGCCTAAATTAAAAGATCGCTATTAAAACCTGACCAAAAAGGTCCTAAGATTTATTATACCAAATCCTCCAACAGTGTCAATTTAATTTGTGTCATGAGAATTTAAACAGGTATTATGCCCTGAAAACACTAGCATGGTATTTTGCATGCAAGATTTATCATCCTTATGTTCTTGGAACCAGGAGTCTAAGTATATTACATAACTAGGAATCTGAAACTATAAGACATTGGCTCTTCTCTCTCACATTTAGATGTAAGTGGTAATGCATAATAAACGGCTCACTGTGATGACCACCTCAGCTTCATGCACATAGCATGGATTGTGTCCTTATTGATTCATGTCATTGTCAAGGAAACCAGTCAACAAGACTGTCCATCCAAACCAAGTAAACTAATTTGAATGCTATGAAGAAATTGTTTCCTATATGCCAATAGACACCTGCAGAAGACAGGAAATGAGATACTGATCCAGCATCTGGCTGCTGATCACTCATCCTACTACTAACAACAAAATCTTACTGTGGATGCAAATCTTGCTAAATCTTCCAGGGAAAAAATAAATCTGTACTAATAGAACAGGAATCAAAAAAATGCTCTTGAAATAATGGTAGTTTGAAATAAACTTACCATTCCGTTATTAATGTGGAACAATCGTAGAAGCATAATATATTTCTGTTTGTTTTATTTGATAAATAATAAATCCAGACATTTCTTTTTACCAAGCCATCACTTAACTAATTCTGACCTAAATACTTCTAATAAAGTATTATATGCATAAGTTTATTTCTAAGTACAGCACATATTATTTCTAATGAGGAAGGGTAGCTGCATGCAATGAGACAACAGCCATGCCTAAAGCAATTACAATTCAGGAAAAATAAATTTTTGGTGATGTTAGCTGAAATGACAGCTACTTATACAGAGAAAGCATAACCTGAAAAAGTGCTTCACTTAAAAGAAAAATAGATTAATGTTATTTAAACAGTTGGCTCAAATTTGAAAAATCTTATCAGAAGCACAGTGTACAACTGATAATGTCTCTGCTATCCAGTAGAATTATAAAATTAGGGGAAAAAAAGTTTTGCTGATTTGTAAGGGAGAACAAATGTACCTTGTGTGTACAAAAAAAAAAAGATGGAAATGGTTTGTACTTCCAAAGTTTATATTGGCTTGCATTAACGGTTCCAAACTTTTTTAATTTTTATTTAACAATTTTACTTCTGATCTGAATAAAGCTTTCTGGGCAAACAGGAAAGGACACTACAGATTTGTCTCTTGAATGGTGCCTCTATCACCTACCAAAAAGAAAAGTGAATAAGAAAAAATTACTGTTTGCTATTTTGAGAGAGAAATTAGAAACTCTAACAAAATATATTTGTTTGAACTCTGATAGTATAATTATCTAGTCATCTTTATATAGTATGATATTATACTGTATTGCTTGTTTAATTTGTATTTCAGTTTAATTTAAAACCAGGTCTTGAATTTGTGTATTAGTTAATGAATCCAACTCACCAGAAATTCAATATGAGTAATCAGCCAATAACTAGCAAAATTAATTAATTTCTATTGTGTAAAGGAAAAAACAAAGTAATGCTCTGTATAAATTAGTGAACTCTTTGTCTTCCTGCAACTTAGGTGAGTTATTTGCTGAAATATGTAGCAGAGTTTGCTCTTCTCAGGAATCTTGGAAAAGCAGTTGCTAGATAAATTTCTTAGTTATTATATGGGAGGAAAAAGCAGATATGTAGAAATTAGTAGATTCCTAGGATATTTAAGGGAGAACTTTTTTAAACTTTATATTCACAAGAAGATACTTAAATAGTAAATAAGGTAAATTTGATTAGTTTTTAAACAGAAATAATCAGGTTCTAAGAGAATGTTCAACAAAGTATTTCAGCACCTAAATCCAAGACAGGAATCCACAACCCCTATGGAATGTGTAAGCACCTTTCTCTCTACCAGTAACTTTACTACTACAGTAAATTTCTTAGACATGTCTTAGTCTTGTGTTACGCAATCCCAAAGACAGCTCTTTTGGGAAAGCAGAGCATGACAATGTTCACCTGGTGTCTAAGACAACTTGGGATTTATTAAGCAACCATCCTATTACCCATGTCTCCTGAAAGGCACGTTTCAGCAGGCATGCACCAGGATGTCCAAACGTGCATTGACGACTGAGACTCATACACAAAACACAGAAAGAAGCTGTAAGAGGTGCACCTGCCTATATCTGTATTTTTTATTATAATAATGGGTAGAAGTGAGATTTGTTTTCTGTGATTTACACCTCCTAGAAGTTCAGCTCACACATGCCTGTGAGGAGACAGCACTAGCTCTAGATAAGGCTGCAAGGGAGGCAGCAATCAAATATGTAAGAGTTTATACCATCTAGATCTGTCCTTTTAATGATCTGTTTCCTTTCTGTGTAGGTTCATCACTGTGCTTTCCACTGGAAGCAAGTTACCCCTTATTTTCAACTGAAAAGGTAATAAATTACTATGTTAGAAGAACTATTCTGTTAATTAATATATCTTTTTATTACCTCTCTTGATTGCCAATTCTGTATCTTCTTGGAGTTCAGCACTTGGGAGATACTGAAGATAACTTCCATAGATGTCGACGGTAACTGAGTGAACAATAAGAGTTGATGGTATTTGATGCATCTTAGAATGTAATAGTTTCTGCATTTGTCTCTTCTCTTCTTCACTTTATCTACTGGACCTAAATTATATTCAGTTGCATCATTTCCAAATGAATTTTTTTTCTGTGAAAGATTCACCACAGACAGTAAAATTAGAATTTTTGTGCCTTTATTTTTAAATCTGAGAAGTAACAGAAGACAAAATACTTTATACCATCATATTTTAGTAACAGCAATAATAATTCCATTTTAACTTATAATACAACGCTTTACTCACTTCGTGGGTCTGCGTCCAGAAAACACTTTGCAAATGTAAACTTCTGTATATTGTATAAGAAAACAATTATCTACTGTTCTTGAAAAACAAAATCTTGTATTTCGTTTGCATAACACCTATTTCAACAAATTAAAGACATAATTTTACTTACTTATCTGCCTCATAGATTGGCACTGCTGTACAATCACATAGCAAAAAGATAGGCTTTATGAGAGTTTGGAATTCTTATGAAGAATTTAGAATACTTATAGAAATATTTTGTATACATACCTAACATATAGCGTATGTATACTGTTGGATGAGTTATGGTGTATACATAGACAGGAACTTTGGCTTTAAGGTTCTGTAGGTGAGGACAAAGATTTGCTGTTTGTTGATTCCTCCTCCACACAATGAATTTGTTCTGAGTCTTTGTTTCCACTTGCATCAAAATACCCACAAATGTGTTCAAATTGTCTCTGAACAGCATTGTGTGTTGCATTTCCTGCATTTCAGCTGAGCAGTGAGAGTGTCACCAAATGAAATGTGGCTTTTTCTGCTATTCCCCTCTTGCCTTCAAACCTGTTGATAGAGTTCAACTATTATCTTGAGCAGCATTTAAGTTTACCTTCCAAACACCATGCAAATTCCATGCATAAAACTAAGTTGGGTAAGTTGATCTCTGTGAGACAGGGAAGGACCAGCAGGAGTAGCTGTGTGGGCTGACCCAACATATGGTGCCATCAATATAGTTTTACGTGGACCATCACAAGAGCGGAATTAGATAGTATGCAGACTCATGCCAGGTGTTGTCTGGACATTTAATTTTTGTACTGTTATTTGTAAATGTATATCTATCTGTCAGGGACAGAAGAGAGAAAGAAAGGAAGGAATCTAATAAGGGTTGCCAATTCAAACCACACTTTATTCTTAGTGACAAACTTACTTCACATTTTGCCTAGGACTGATTTCACATGGTGGGCTAGAAGTGCAAGGGCAATTTCCAAGGAGATGTAGCACCTCCTCTTTTAATAATTTTTTTTTTACAAAGCTTACAAATTTTCACATTTATCTACAAATTTTGTTTGTTCCTGAACTTTCTACCACCAGAACAGCAAAAGCCGTACTCACCAGATAGCTCATCAAAATTGTTTCCGATTACAACTGCAATAATTGTCATTTTATCTTTTTTGTTCGGTTGTCCCAGATCCTTTTATACAAGCTCATAATTCAAGGAAGTTGAGCAGGACTGGAGAATAGAGACCAGTATATTCAATCTCCATTTTTTTTGCAGTTGACCATCTTCTTGTTAAGAATTTTAAAACTCCTCTTTCATGAAACCTTTTGTACATGTAGCTGTTTTCCCTGTACAATGTTTGAATGCAGGTCCTAGATAAGCTTTTAGGTGTTGCACAGAAGTTTGAAGTGACAAAGACAATAGGAAGGGTTCAAACAGCAGCAGAAGAAAAATCTTTTTCTTGTTCTTATTATATGTCTGCTACTATGTTCCAAACATTTAATTTATGGACATTTTCTGTCCTCAATACTATTTTTTACTGTTTTGTGTCATAAACAACTAAACCAAGGAAATAGTACTGAGTGAAAAGATACTTCAGAATTTAAGAAAAGGGGAATAAAGTTTCATTCTCTTGTGCATGTGTTTCTTTCCGCTTTAAAAATATAACAGAAATACATGGCCAGGATCTTCCCAACTCTCTCATTCTGCAAAAAAGAAAACTGTGTATAGACCATCTTCTAGGCTTTTCTAAAAATTGGATCTATTATAGTAAACATAGTCTATATCTCAAGGAAAAGTTTACTTTGTAAATTTTCTTGTTGCCCCATCATCTACACCATCCCACCATCTTTCTCACCCTCCCACTTTTCTTCTGTTGGAAACCAAACAGTGGCCAGATGGAGTGAAGTGTTCGGGTTCAATAACAATATCAAATCAAAATACAGTTTGGGCTTTCAAGGGGCTTTGGAAAGTACCCTTGAATCTCAGAACAGTCATAAGATATAGTTACAAGCTAGTGATTCAGCTGTATTGAGTGGATTGCCTGATGCTGTCAGATATCAGATGTCTTTTTCAGTGCTGGAGGAGGAAAAATGTCTCTGTTCCTTCCTCCTCTGCCTTAAACTCAAGCATCTAAACCTCAACCAACATGACTGCTTTATTTACAAAACCCAGATAAATTCTCTAAGAATATAAGTGGCATTGTCTCGTGATCTACCTATGTTTAGGAAAGAAAACCAATGAAACTTAAGCATTCATTAGATTTCTAAATGAAACTGCAAAGCAATAGTGAAGATGGAGGTTTTGTAAGATTTAGTTTTTGCCAACTAATATTACAAATAAATACTTTACACTAAAAAAAAATACAGAAGGACTTGAGTGACTAAAATCTACCCTTTTAAAGAAAATTTGTATCCCATGTGCTATATATAACATGTCTAACAAGGCAATTCAATTGTAAGTATACTCCTTCTTCTCTTTGAGGTTTTTTCAAGTCTAGCTAAATCCTTTTCCATTTTTTTTTAATTTTTTGTTTGTTGTTTTTGTTGGGGGTTTTTTTGTTGGAGAATAAAAAACTTCCTAAAACTGAAATATTTTCAAAAGGTATCAAACATGAGGATTCTGAAAAGTACTTCATAGCACGGATCCCAAAGCAAGACACAGAGATTCTATGGTCACTTTTGAAAATCTTGGCAATCTAATTTTAAAATTTTAATCTAATTTCCTGTGCTTATTTATAGAACGGAGCAAGCTAAGCCCTTTGTTGAACTTCAGCCATCCTGTGAGTTTATGTTATCAGTTATAAAAACGTACCCTGCCCCAATTTCACAAGTCCTTAATTACTCATCTCCTCCCACAGAAACCATTAGCAAGTGATACATGATACGTATTTCTTAAAATATAATATGAAATGCAAAGCAAAGTGTCAGGCTGTTCAGAAGCTATGCATATTTTGGTGACTCAGAACAATGCACAACAGTATAAGGAGATTAATAAAATTAAGAGTTCATTTTCATTCCCAGTTCCGATTTGTCTTATTTAAATGCTGGGCTGTCCTAAGGTTAAAAATAAGCTCTTCTAGTTTTAAGCTTTTAAGTTGTAGCTTTAATCCTTTGTCTGACTTGAATTTGATGGACTGCATTCAAAGTAGGTAGGTTATATTCATTATTTATTTCTTTATTTTGTTAAATGTTACCCATTGCAAACCAAAGAGGTCAGCAAAACGCAGTTTGATAGCTTTCCACTGGTTATTGAAATATATTTTTCACATGACCACAAAAAATGTCAGAACTTTGTTTTCATTTTTCAACTCAATATTTCCTCACAGAAAATTAATCTGGTAGCAAGTATTTTTAAGGAGTCCATCAGACTCGAGCCATATTCCATTTGTTGCAGGAAAACAAACATGTTGTGTATGTTTAAAGAACGGACATATGTGATATAGCTAATTAACAGGCATAGTAATCTTACTTCATGGAGATTTTAGAACAAATCTGGATCAAAGTATAATTAATTATATAAATCAGAAGTGAAAAAAATGCTAGTTAGGTTCAGCAAAAGCCAATTATACGGGGTAATTATACCTTTCTCGGCTAAATTAACAGGTTTTCTGAGCAAAGAAAATGTACTAGATAAAATATATCTGGACATCAGATTTGCTGCAAAATAACTTCTGTAGGAAATTGTTTATTAAGTTAGTAAAGCTAGACTAGTGCAAGAGTTGTAATATGGGTAAGAAAAGAGTGGAGGTGATACTGTTTGTGGAAACTGTTAGTATGAAAAATAAAATAGTTCCAGTGATACTAAATTAACACAGAAGATGTCCCAAATGTCAGACAGAGCAAAATGGACAACTGAACATGGGAGTAAAACAGCTGGGATGTCATACAACAGTAGTCAGTGTGAGGTTTAGGACAAATAACAAGACATTGGTGCTTACAGAGTGGAAATAATAGAGGAAGAAGATACAAATGTGTACTATTAATCAGTCACATAAAATATGTGAACAAGCAGTGTGAAGAGGGTATGTTTAACGTAAATGACTAGGAGAACTTTGGAACACTGAATATTATGGTTCTCGATGGAAGTTTCTGCTCTATTTTACTGTCTAGCTACTTAGGGAATTCAGACACCAGAGACATAGAAACAGACAGCTTTTTTTTAGAAGATGAACTGTGTCAAGTTGTTTTATCAGTACACTCATGTATGGTAAACCCATGACCTGATTCATGGATGGACTGTATGAAATGTGAGCTGTTGGAACCGAGGGAATGGAATTTCTCCCAGAAGAAGAGGGAAGAATGGAATTTCTCTCAGAAGAAGAGGGAAGATGAGCTGGTCTCCCACTGTAACCTACACCAAAGTGAAAAATGTGAAGCTGCATGTAGAAGTTAAGGGCCATATACACTCAGATCAACCACACCAACTTATATCCCCACCTTCTAAAGAACTTATATCCAAGTGAAACTCTACCAGCATTTTGAATTAATAAAGTGTATTATAGATTTTTTTTTTCTGTACAATTAATTGGATTAAATAGTATATTATTGCCTTGAAAATTTTTATTTCTTCAACCAAACTGTCATTCTTTCTTACACAATTTTTTAGGAAACAATTTACATTGCAGATTTCATCAGCAGAATTTCAGTTTAACAAAATCTACTGAGTGTTAACAGTCCCAGGAAATAACTGAGATCACTAGCTTGAAGTGTTTTATTTTACAGCATGTTTTTATCAGGATATATATCAAAAACAAATAATCCTCAGGCCAAAACTTTTTTATACTCTGGAGCTTCTTCCCCCATGAATCCATGAGAGATTTGCCTTGATAGCTTCTATTAACACAAGTGGGAGTTGCAAGCCAATCCCCTATGCATTGTTTGAAGAACTTATCTCAAAGCATTGCCCAAAGCAAATTTTTATGATAGCTTAGCACCCCTGGGAACAGGGATTTATAATGGCAACAACTGAAAAAGACCCTAATCTATAGTTTAGTGATGGGAATAAGAGTACTGTTATACGTTTTCAGTTATTATGCTGCTGAACTTGAACTCCAAATTGTTTCCTTCTTGAAGAAATATTTGAAGTAGTTTTGTTGAAATAACTATTATAATGCTTTAAAGTTTCTGAAGTATTTTAATATTGTCTCGGATTTCAACCTTTCTTTCCATTCCTCAGTCAAACCACACAATATTTAACAACATGCATTATTAACAGAAACTATACAAAGCCCTTGAAAACCACCATGTAAAGCAACAAACACTCTTGTATGTATAACTTTAAAATAATGTTTTCCTGATATCTATACATTTCATCTATTACTATTTGCTGTGATAAAGGATCTAACTTGTTCTTTGGGTAATAATCTCTGTTTTAAAAACTTCCGAAGGAAATAAGAAATAAGACTTAAGCTAAATGGCATGAGCAATGCTCTGCAAATTATCTTGTCAATATTATATATTGACAATTATGTAATATCAAGGCTGATAATAGCATATAAAATTAGAAATCTATTTAAATTTGATAATTTTAAAAATCTTTTGCCCTGATAAATGTTTGCTGTTTTGTAATTTTAGAATTTTTGCTAGGTTTAAAAAAATACTAATGAAAACAAAGCAAAGTTTCAAAAGTTAATGAAAGGAGTGGGAAGTTGATACTAGGTTTTTCCTGGCCATGTTTTTGGATCTTATGGACAGGAAAAAAAAACCTTTCTTAAAATATATAATGGTGAAGTATTTTGTTTTCCATATGAAATAAGAATTTTTATTTATAAAAGCAGGCTTTGAGGAACCTTGAAAAAAATGGTCAAATTTTGGTCTAGTTTGATTCTCTTTGATCCCACATAGCATAAGTAATGTAGCCTAAGTAATGTACTTTCACTAAAGTAAATTCCTTTCACTCAAAGTCAAAGAATCACGAAGTGGCTGAGGATGGAAGGGACCTCTGCAAGTCATCTGGTCCAACCCCCCTTGCTCAAGCAGGGCCTCCTAAAGCTGGTTTCCCAGGACCATGTCCAGACCACTTTTGAATATCTCCAAGGAGGGAGATTCCACAATCTCCCAGGGCAACCTGTGCCCATGGTCAGTCACACTCACCGAGAAAAAAATATTTTCTGATATTCAGGCAGAGCTTTCTGCATTTCAGTCTCTTCCCTTGCCTCTGTCACTGGGCCACTGAAAAGACCACGGCTGTTCCTTTTGTATCTTCCCTTCAGGTATATGTAGGCATTCATAAGACCATCCTGAGGCTTCTACCAGGCTGAGCAGTCCCAGCTCTCTCAGCCTTTCCTCGTAGGAGAGATGCTTCAATCTCTTATCATCTTTCTGGCCTTTCATTGGACTTTCACCAATACGTCCATGTCTCACCTATACTAGGGAACCCAGAACTGGGCACAGTTCTCCAGGTGTGGCCTCACCAGTGTTGAGGAGAAGGGAAAGATCACATCCCTTGATCTGCTGAAAACACTCCTCCTAATGCAGCCCAGGATACCACTAGCCTTCTTCGCCACCACAGCATATTACAGCTCATACAGGAACCTCAGGTCCTCTTCTGCAAAGCTGCTTTCTAAACGGTTACCACCCAGCAGATACCAGGTCATGGCATTGTTGCTCCCCAGGGCTTTGTGCTTCCCCTTCTGGAAATTCACGAGATTCCTGTCAGCCCATTTCTCTAGTCTGTCAAGGTCACTGCAGATGGCTGCACAACCCTCTGACATACAAACCACTCCTCACTGTTTTGTGTCATCAGCAAACTCGCCCTATCATTCAAATCATTTCATGTTATTTAAAATGTTCTATCTTCTTTCATTGTCTCCAAGCATTTTTCCCTCTTTCTTTCCATCTCTTTGGTGCTCCCAACAACAGGAATTATTGTTCTGAGCTCCAAACAATTCAGCCGTGCTTGCTGGTATGAATACTCAGAAATCAAAGTGAACCTAAACTGTGTAAGGAGCAATGGAAAATCTTAAGTGAGGAAGAAATTCAATCTCAAATGTCATACTGCAGTGGCAGAGAAAGGTGTAATGGAAAGACTAAGTTAGCAGCCAGTTCATTAATTGCTGTCGGCTCATATATATTCACACATAATACTCCAAACTGCACTATCCTTGTTGATATCTCTACATAAGATGTAGAAAACAGTAGAGACATTTTATCATCAGGTATTGGGGCCTTAAGAACTAAAAGTTTGGGTTAGAACTGTGTTTCCTTGTATTAATGAATTTTGTACACCACTCAGATGAAAGCTAAGTTATAACTTTGTCTCTGAACCAGTCCGAGTAGAACATAGATGTAATATGAAAACAAATTATGAAATTGTGTACTCTCCTCATAAAAATATATTGGGATGAATCCAAGACTTATCAAATCTGTCACGGTTACTGTACAGAGATTAATTTGTACTGTTTGTCTGGAATCAAGTTTTAACTGGATTCAGGAAAGATAAGATCATGCAGGTATAAACTAATTTGGTCCACTATTTTGAAATGTAAATTTTGTAAGAATTGAATGTCTAAAAATATCTGGAATAATTGAACTCCATTAATGTATTGTTCAATTAGCTTCCACTTGTGGGAATATTGATACAGCTGATGTGCTATTTCCTGACAGTCGTTATTGTTCTTAAATGATTTTAACCTGGCTTACTTATCTGTGCAAGAAGGTTGTATTTGGAACAATGGTAAAAGCCAAGTGGTTAGTTTGGGTTTTTTTCAATAAATTACTCCCTGACTTCTTTGTCAAACTATTAGCTCTTTATGTGTGAGCTCTTGTCCTCTAACATAGTCATAATATGCCTTGTCTTCATCCTAAACACAGATATCTGTACATCACAATTCCCATCCCTACTTCATATAATATTAACTTGCAAAGCTTAATCTTTCCAACAAATTTCTAACAGGTTCCAGGGATTTTCCTTAATAATAACCATACTCTTTTTTTTCTCCTTCTAACAGTCAGATGAATGATTCAAAATGTTTTGTCTGAATGAAGATGACCAGTCTCCTTATCTGTGAGTTCTTGTACCCATACAAAATGTGCTACACACATCCTTTTTTGCTGTTTTGTATTTGTCTGAAATGGATTATAGTAGTTTCATTTTTCTTGGTATCTACATTAAAGTAGTATACTACATAAATAGAAAAATCACATTGACCCTGAATATATTTGCAACACTATTTCATATTATGGACATATTCAGATTTCATTTACACTGGCCTCCACCTAGGCAAGCTGCTCATGAAGGGAATAAATTGAGAATCAAACACAGATCACTGTAATGAAAATCAATGTTAATATATATCCCATACTTTCTAGGAATAGAAAGCAAACAGGTTGCTGTCTGTTTTGAATAGCTGCATAAAAATGTTGTACACAAAATAATCTGTCATGAGTTTTCTGCATTCAGAATAAATATTTCTGAATTGTTTTAAACATAGTTCCATTATTTCTTGTACAAGAAGAATTCCAGCTTATTTATTAAAACCTGAGGGGCCATCACATGATAGGTTGTAATCAATAAAACTTATGCCAACTGATGTTATTCGGTATGTCAAGTCATATTGCTACAGTTCTGTCTCTAGGATGTTACAAAGCACTAGCTTGTTTGCAGTGTTCTTTTCTACCTTCTTAGCTATGACTCAGGAATTATTTCTCATAACTATACCAACGAGAAAAAAAAAAACAAATCGTATTCCTTTCATTTCTAACAAAAGACAAAAACACACCAACAAGAGCAATAGAAAATTCTGCTCTAATGCACCATTACTGCATTGCCTCAGATGCATTACACAAACTAAATAAATTACCTTCTGGTAAAAAACTTGCATGATCACTCAGTCACATCAGCATGTTGCCAAACCTGACTAATCTAAGCAAACAAAGCAACCAACCAATGAACCCACAAATCATATCTGACATTGTCAGATCATCTGAAACACTACAGCATTCATCCAGATTACCTTCGTGTACATATTTTAAGTCGGATGGTAAGATTGACGGGGAGATAGATAGACAACAGGTTAGCAAAGGCATATAGTGCTTTCGGAAAGCTTCATAAACGAGTTTGGCGAAACAAACACCTGAAGAAAAGTACAAAGATCAGTGTTTACAGAGCCATAGTGCTGTCTACTCTCTTATACAGATCCGAATCATGGGTCATCTACCGCCACCACCTGCGTCTCCTAGAACGCTTCCATCAGCGCTGCCTCCGTACAATCCTAAACATCGACTGGTCAGATTATGTGACCAACACATCTGTTCTTGAACAAGCAGCAGTCACAAGTATTGAGGCCATGTTACTGAGAACGCAGCTGCGTTGGGCAGGGCACATCTCCAGGATGAAGGACCACCGCCTCCCTAAGATCCTGCTTTATGGTGAACTTGCCACCGGCTGCCGCAAGAGAGGAACCCTGAAGAAGAGATACAAGGACTCCCTGAAACAACATCTCAGCCTTGGCCATATTGATCAACATAACTGGTCTACTCTGGCCTCCAATTGGGAGGCCTGGAGACACACCATCTATAACGCTGCTGATGCTTTTGAGAAAGCTCGCAGGATCACCCTTGAGGAGAAAAGACAACGCAGAAAGATTCGTGCCTTGCAGAACATACCATTTAAGGAGTCTTTCTGCTGTGCCTTTTGCAACCGGACATGCCTATCTCGTATTGGCCTTTTTAGCCACCAACGCGCTTGCAACAAATGTGGGTAGAGCCCTTCCCAAATCTTCATTCGCGAAGCCGGGCCATGATCACATATTTTAAGGAATAACCTAGATTTTATATATAAGATTTTTTTTCTCTGCATTGCAGAGGTTAGGGAAGAGAAGACTCTTTGGAAGGCAAAAGATACAAGAACAGAATCATCAAGGATAATGTGGTAAGTTTTATGGCAGAGATTCACAAGGGAATGATGAGGCCAAGATAAGTACTATCCTTAACATGCACTGCTACGAGTTCTATGACTCTTCAGGGATCAGCTGTTTAAAGCTGGTTTTGTTAATCTAATATGTATTTACATATATCCAGAGACAGGAAAGGATTTCTGTTGCCATTTGGTTTTTGACAACTGGTCTGCTATTTAGTTCTCATACATTCTTTCATTAATGTCTTGGACATTGCAGGAAAAGAAGACAAGACACCAGGAATGTGGTTTAAGTAGGCCGTGACTTCATAAATAACACATCTGGGAACCATCTGGCAATGACTCGTCCAGTGCAGGTCATACTTCCTTTGTAATCCATACCACGTGGTGGCAAACTGCCATCAGCTCTCCCTCCTGCTAACATGGCCTTAGCATCACTCCTGAGACCAATGGGCCCCCTTCCCCTTAAGAGGACTGAAAATAAAGGGGCTGTATCCCAACTTGAATGTAACCCCACTTTCTTTGCAGTCCTCTGTTCCCTTCTCACTCCTGTTTACATTTTATCATGAAGTCAAATCCTTAGTCAATAATTACCTTCACTGGAAATTTGCTGCAGTGAGGCAACAACTTTTCTACCCTAGCCAAATTCTCACATTGTCAATAATTCCTTCCATTAGAGGAGATAACATCATATTCCTTTTCAAGTAAGAAATTTGAATAGAACACTTGAAAATATTAAAAGCACACTTCAGATGAATAGTTACCTGATTTTTCTCTTCAGTTAATTCATAAATCAGCCAAGTTCCTCCTGTGATCACCTAAACTTTCTGGTGTGGTGTCCTGAAATCAGTCATTTTACTATAATATGATCAGGTTGTACTTATGACCTCTTGTCCTAATCTAAATTCTGCCATTATTTTTCCCTCTGTTTGTTTTATCGTTATTTATCTAGATCCATTCATATGGCCTCTCCCTCATTCTGAATGAGTCAGTTATGCCTCTTCAGTTGGGCTAACGCTTACCTGAAAGGTAACTGATGAACTTCCAGAAAAACTAGATTCCTGATGTAAACCAAATGCATACTATTAGCCAGAGAAGTCTGACATATTCTGAAAAATAGGTTGAACATGGATATTACTGAAAATATCCCTTCCCTTCATGTGTCAACTCAGATGTTATCAGTCACAACCACAGTCTTCTGTGTTCCTACTGCCATGTCTGCTTCAGATGCTTTAATATCCATGTGGAATGAAGAAGAACCCAGTTTATTAAGGTAATGGCTGTAGAACATGTTCTTTGACATTGACATGAAATTAAATATTTTTTATGATTTAACTGCCTTCCATGAGAAGCAACAGTAACATGGTATCAGTTGACCTCTATCCTTGTCACATCTGAATAGTTTGATTGAAAAACTCTTACATTATTATAATACAGAACTTTATTTCCTCACCTTTATTTTTTAAGACAATATTCTAAGAAGCACAGGAATTGTAAGATGCAAAGGCAGCTTTTCTTCATTTTTTTCAAATGCAGAATTGTAGATACCTAAGTCAAGGATCTGCCTGAATTGCATTTGGCAATTCTTCAGAAACTGTGCAACTATGCCACCCTCAGACTTACTTAAATCTCTCATAAAGTTTCTCTTAAGCTGATATATTCCTAAAATAATGATGATCAATACTAATGAAAAAGAAAACAATGACAGTTTACCTTGTATTCCTAACAAATAAAGACAAAAAATGGAAATTTGTAAAATTTTAGGACAGATTTCTCCACTTAGGAAAGAAGAATGAATTTATTCATGCTTACACACTTCTAGATGTTTTGCATGTTGACAAAATTTCCAGCAGAAATCAAGCTTTGAGAAGCCAACTGTACATAAATAGGCTCCTTGCTGGCAAATTCTCCCAATCTCTATCTCTTTCCCTCTTTGATTGATTTGAAAAATACTTATCTTGTTTTTCACTAATTGTAAAAATCAAATTACTACCACTTATGTAAATTTGAAACTTTGCTTGCCCCATAATATATCAAGCTATCTTAAATGGCTGTTATGGCTGGCTGTAGATCTACTCTCCCACTTTAAGTATGGGGAAAAAAAAAAGATAAATCAGGACCTCTCCAAAACTAAGTGCCCTGTTTCTTGTTTCGTCCTTAAGAAGAAAAGGGGTCTGGTCATTACTTAAAACACAGCTGATGGGAAAGTATCAATTTCAAAGTGACTTCCCAAAATATTAAAGACACTATATCTCTAGTTCATCTTTTTTAACACTGTAGTTATCTTTATGATCTTAACAATACTAACAACTTTAGTGAGAATTTAGTCTAGTCTCCAGCTGAACTAACTAAATGCAGCAGTGAATAGAGAGGGCAATTCACTATTTCTCATTTGTTGACAGTATTCCAAACTCACTGGTGAAAAGAATATGAAGGTAGCAAACTCTTGTCCTCTTATGAACTCTTAAGTTGAAGGGAATTTCACTATGGTGATTGCTGTCATAAAACCTTGAACTTTAGCCAGTCCACATATATTGATCCATATTCATGCACTTTTATAACCTGCATATCTCTAGTTTGATCTGCTGAAACAACCTGGACTTTTCAATAAAAGGTGGATTTAGACAGAAATCTACTTAATAACGTTCTAGCTCATCAGTGCATGAAGCATGGTGCAGAATAAAAGACCTGTGAGTTAGACTCCTAGCCCCTGGGTAATGATGGGAGACATCGCAGATTCTCAAACTTAGTGCTACTGGTATGACTGACAGATGTTAGCAGACCTCTAATCCTTTGGACACACAATAGCAGATAAACACACCACAAGTGTCATATGTTCCCTGCCTTCTTACAGCAGCTTCTAGGACTAGTCAGGTACTGAGAGAGAGATCTCTAGAGTTATAGTTGCATATATATATATATATACACAAGTAGAATGTCCTCAAGGAAAACCACTCTGTATGAACAGGAGCCAAGAAACCAAACCCTCTGCTTCACCAGTCACCTCCTCCTGTCTTCTGCACGCTTGAGGAGAAACTGAGGGTCCAAAGAGAAAGTGATTTGAAAAGACATGATATATAAAAATTGAAGTTTCTGTTGGCCCGGGCTGCTTCCTGAGCCTCTGAAAGATGTGGAATGGGTTCTCTAGAT